AGCCTTAGCCAACATCCCACAGAAGGACACAGGAGGGAGGTAGCTGGTGTGGGCATCATGGTCCCCTGATGCAATCCAGGGAAAGCAACACCCCGGCAGGGGTGCCTGGCAGTCTCTAGAGAGGGCCAGGGGCTCAGGACTGTGTCCCAGCCGGCAAACCCCTGAAGTTAAGCCTGACCCTCCCTTGCTTCAAAACCTTCCCATAGCTTTCCATTGCCCAGTAGATCACAAACTGGATGGATATTGTTTGGCCTGCAGTTTACAAACAACCGGAGCCAACAGTTACAAATAGAATGATTTCGTGTATATTTCCGAACCCTGGTTTCTGGTTTCCAAAAGCAGGAGGATGGAGCAGTCCTGGGCACTCACAGATTTGAGTGGTGAGGGCCTACCCCTTCCCGTGGGCTCTGTGGTCTCCAGTTGGCCACAGTCCCCACTTCTCCCTATCGCTTCCCTATAGCACTGCAGCCAAATGTGAAAGGCCACTGAACAGAATGCCTATTCTCTATTTCACTCAAATAGAGACCCATGCTGCTAAGAACAGTGAGAAATGAATGATATGCTGAGACAGCTTGATGTTTCAAGAAAATGCTGAGCAGGCACATTTCTTTGTGAAGTGAATTGCTGGTTTGGCGGCTTCTCTCATTCACATGACTGAGCAGTCTGAAGACATGTGTGTTTTTGACCCTTGGTCTGTGGACAAACTCCTGAGGCCCAGGTTCTTCGAGCTGACCCCAATGCCTAGGAGCACATCCATGTGAACCTAGGGCAGGTGACCAGTAGGGAGCCGCACCCCTCTGTCCCTCCCAGACCCCAGCCTGCTCCTGTACTCTCTTAGATTCTGCCAGGCTGCATACACATCACCATCCCGGGAGGTGGGGCAGCTAGAGGGATCCCTTCCCATCTCCCTGCCCCAACCCCCCACACTCTGTGGGTACCATCTCAGGGTGTGTGGTACCAGCTATGACAATTCACTCTATTCTACTGTGAGCTGCTTGGGGGCTGAGTCCAGGCCTGATGTACTCACCTTTCCCCAGTGATGGGCCCATCTGTGGATCAGAGCAATACTGATTGAATTTCTAGGTACTGTCATGTTGAGGAAGACTTTTAGGTCGAGAAACTAGGCTGTGCAGATTCAAGCCACCCACAGTGGGCCTGGCTGCCCAGCCCTTCCTGATTGCAGGAAAGCAGGAACTCACTGGTGCTCCTCCCCTAGACTGCAGCTCCTGGGTTGAGATCACTGAGAGGATGCCGACTTATATAAACACGCACGAGTAGGGCCTGTGGACCATCTGAGCACCTCTGCAGATAGCAGCCTTCACGTCTAGCTTGCTAAAGGGGCATCAGCATCTTTTCTTAGTAAGAAGGTTTTTTGCTGCCCAGGCTGGAGTGTAGTGGCACCATCATAGCTCACTGCAGCCTTCAACTCCTGGGCTCAAGAGATCTTCTTGCCTCAGCCTCCCAAATAGCTGGGATTACAGGTGCGTGACACCATGCCTGACAATTTTTAAACTAGATTTTTATTTTGTAGAGATGGACTCTTACTGTGTCATCCAGGCTGATCAACTACTGGCCTCAAGCAATCCTGCTGCCTTGGCCTCTGAGAGTGTGGGATTACAGGTGTGAGCCACCACACCCAGCCAAGAATTTTCATGAAAGAAAGCTATTGTAAACTTTTGCTACAAGTGTCTCCCACAAAATGCATACTTGAAAAGCTACGTCTCAGGGAAACCAGCCCGTGTTGGAAGTCTTTCTGGACCCCCAGGCTTGGTCAGGAGCCTCTCCAAGCTCCCAAAGCCCCTCGCCCTTTTGACGTGTCTACTCTTTTGATTGCAGGCTGCTGAGGGCATCGTGTGTGACTTCTGTCCTTTACCCCAGAGGTGACCAATGCAATTGGCTGAATGGGTTGTTGAACCAGAGCACGGTCACCCTCCCTACACTATTTCTGTTTTGAAAAATCAGGACTTGGGCTGGGCGCCATGGCTCACACCTATAATTCCAGCACTTTGGGAGGCTGAGGAGGGTGGATCACAAGGTCAGGAGTTTGAGACCAGCCTGGCCAACATGGTAAACCCTGTCACTACTAAAAATACAAAAGCTAGCTGGGCGTGGTAGCGGGCACCTATAATCCCAGATACTTGGGAGGCTGAGGCAGAAGAATTGTTCAAATCTGGGAGGTGGAGGTTGCAGTGAGCCGAGATCGTGCCACTGCAGTCCAGCCTAGGCCACAGAGCAAGACTCTCTCTCAAAAAAAAAAATAGCATCTTGTCAATAACAGTCACTGGATTCTCCAGGGCCCAGTTCTAAGGAGGCTGTGGTCTTGGTGTGAGATGCTTGTGCCGGTGCAGGAGACAGAAGTGGTTTAATGACAGCTTATCTCATCAAATGATGGAGGAGGGAGACATCGCTGTTGAGGGAGGGGGAGACAGGCAGCCCCAGCCATCAGTGGCCTGCACTGGGGCTCTCGGAGAGTTTTAGTTAAAGGTGATGATGGAGTTCCAGGATGGCCTGGTTGAGCCTTCGCAACAAAATGAGGCTGTCTTAGTAACAGCAAGCAAGGGAAAAGCCAGGGACTCCACGGGTTGTTAAGGGAGCCCGCTAGCCAGTGGGGGGGACCCTGTCGACAAAACGAATTTCGATCAGTTACTGGAAAAAGAAAACAGTTTCAAGTTTATACCTTAAGGGTTTGAGGCTCCTGGATCAAATCCATTGTATTTAAATATTTACACCTACGAATATGTTTGTATATGCACAGATCTTCCTAGGAGGCTACAGAAGAAATGTAGCAATTGCCTCTATGGGGGTGGGGGACTAGGGACAGGGGAGGAGAGGGAAACAAGGAGGAAACAGAGGAAGGAGGGAAATCTACTTTTCACCTATTCTGTTGTACTTTTAAATTTTTTTTTAAAAAACGGTGGGCATGTATCATTTTCAATTAAAATGGACAAAGGTTTTGAAAATTTGGGCGGGACTAGATGAAGTTTTCCTTTGTCTGACCTCAAGCTATCAGCTGGAGTTGGAGTGCATTTCCTCTTCTTAGGGTCCCTAGTGGAGAAGAGGGGACACCTTCATGAGTGACAGGCCTGCAGTGTGCTGGCCGTGCCAGGCTGGCTGGTTGGGTGGCTTTTCGTGCCACTGGCTCTGGCCCCTCACTGGGCAGCCACACAGCCCCAGGCTGCAACCAGCCCCCTTGCTGCCTTCTCCTGGTTGTTCCTCCACTGTCCCCTGGGCTTGGCATATAAAGAAAGGCCTAAGGGATGCGGCTGTCACACTCCTGCCTACAGCCAGGACCCCCGCCCCATTACAGAATTACATCAGCTAGAGGGCTCTCACAGAGCAGCAGGTCTAAGCCCCACACTTCACAGATGGGGAAACTGAGGCTCAGGGAAGGATAGTGACTCCACAGCATCGGAGCTGGGACCCAAATCCCCTACTGTCAGGACCAGAACTCTTTGTACCCCACCTGCTGCCCAACTTGATTTTAGGTGAGCTTCCAAGGGACAGTGGCAGGTAGAGAATGAAGCAGTTAAATGGGTCCCCTTGACTCCTGGGAAACCCCAGATGACTGCCTGCCTACATGTGGGGGCTACTTGCATGAAATAGCTCCCCCATGCCTGGCTCTGCTCACTCCTTAGCTGAGCTGCTGCCTGCCACCTGTATTCCTCCCTTCACCACCCCCCACTCCCATCCTCATGAAGCTGTCCCTTTCCTCTTCTCCTTTATAAATCCTTACCCGCAAATCACTTCTGCTAGGAAGGTCATGCTGCATGTGACCACTCCAGATCCGGGTACCCGGGGAAAGATGATGATCTGAGCCTGGGGGTCTGTGTACAGGTGGGTGCCAGTGTGCCCTGCCTGCCCTCTCCCCCGCAAGAGGACAGATGTGGGTTTTCCCTTGTCTTGGTAACTTCCAGTCTCAGACCCAGCCCACAGGTGCTCCCCACTCCTGGGGGACAGCTAGGTGATAGAGCCACATGGAACCCAGAGCCACAGGTCCCAGAAAGTCAGGGCTGGCAGGGCGTATAGGCACCAAATACTCAGGGTGTGAAAACAAGTTCCCAGGCCAAATATATCTGGGATCTCTGTTCATATGAGGAGACCAGCTTCTTCCTGCAGGACTTCTCAGAGCCTTTAACATGCTGAGGGACAACATCACTATCCAAGATGGGGCCAGTGGGTGCTCTTACCCCAAACTTAAGGCACCACAGACTCTACTCATGGAGCAGGCAGTCCATGCTGGGAGATGCACAGGCCAGACTCAGTGCACAAAGGGAAAGACTTGAGGTCCACAGGGCGGAGGGGACCAGCTGAAACAGGGCTGCTGGCAGTCTAGCAGCACCTCTGTGCACATTGGAACAAAGCACCCTCGCCTCAACAGCAAGGTATTGATTTTATTAGCACAAGACCCTTTACTGCCATCTGCTGGAAACATCTCAGCAAATACACAAATCTACAACATACGGGAAATGGACCACCCTCCCCTTTAGATACGGTACTCTTGCCCAGTGCGTTACTTGCCCAACCATGCCTGGCAGCCTTGGGCCAACTCATGTGATCCCCACCCTTTCATCACTCCCTTTCAGCCTGCACAATAGTCGTCTATTCCAGGTGAGGTTTCTGAACTGACCCCTCAGCCTCAGCGCCCTTGGGGATCCCCCCCTTGTGAACTCCTCAGAGACGGACAGGAATGCCTGGGCTTCATCCCTGTGTCGTCCCTCTCACCCATTACCTAGCCCCTGCCAGACTCACACGACGAACTCCTGAACAGATCCAGCAGGGACCAGGATCCAGATGCAGCACGGGCTCTACCTTGCTGTGTGACTCTGGGGGCTCTCTGAGCCAGTTTTCCCTCCTGCAAAATGAGGCAGTTGGGCTTGATCATCTCCTGGGGGTCAGATAGCTTGGAACTGACAGTGACACCTTCACCTTCCATGGAATTTTGAGAAGAGCAATGCAGTCATTCCCAGTTGCCAACAGGAAGACAGCCAATGCAACCTAGATTTTATTAGACTAGGAAATATAATTTATTTCATAAAAATTAATTTTGTTACAATAGGAATGCTAAAGGTTATTTATAGGTTGGAGTTTACAGAATAAACAGAGGTGGGATTGGGGGCCATCCCTGGGGCCCTGCACTCCCCCCCAGGCATATAACTGTGTCCATGGCCCTGGCAGGGGTCCAGCCCTTTGCCCCCCTGAGAGCTCCCTGCACTGAAGCTTCTGGTCACCTCTCCTACGGGACCCAGCTCAGCTGCCTGGGAGCTGGAGAACATGGACCAGAGGGCCCTGGAGGGTCCAGGAGATGAGGAGGGTCCCCTGCACCCTCAGGAGAACCCCTGCCCCTGAGCTCTGGAGCAGGAGGGCACTGTGAGAGAAGGCAGAGGGAGAGGCACGTAGAATATACACTGACTGACCCTGTGGGCTCAGGGAGGGCAGAAGACAGGCACACCAACCTCCAGATGTCCAAACCTGGGACGCAGAGGCAGCACATGCGCGCGCGCGCACACACACACACACACACACACACACACACACACACGCTCTGGTGGCGACACGCGCACGTGTTCTCGGAGGGGCAGTCTGATGTGCCCACAGAGAAAAGCACAGGCACGCACATGCGCACACACACGCACCCCAGAGAGGAGAGAGAGAGAAACACCTGTGTAAGCGCCCTGCCACCTTCAACAGTACCTGAGCTGCTACCCACCAGGTACACGCCCTGTGGAGCTGTCTGTTGGGTCTGAACTGGAGGAGAAACCACTGATCCCATCCCAGAGGCAGGCAGCCTCCACAGACGGATAGAGTCGGCAAATCCTTTCTGGTAGTTTCTCATAGAGCTGGACAGTTCGAACCCTCCCAAGAGGCTCCAGCCAATTTGTGCTCCGGGACATGGTGCACATTTCCGGAAATCAGACTGGAAATGGCACCTGGGTGGCTAGCTACACCTCATCCGTCAAGCTCCTGTCCTGGGGGCAGAGCAAGCAGCTTTTGAGGGTGGGGCGGGGAGGACAGAAAAGATCAGGGAGGCGGGCACGGCAGACCACAGGGTCCCCTACAGAAGCCTAGCACAGAGTGTCTGAACCCAAAGAGCCTGAGACCACAGCCTTCTAGGTATGAAAAGGACACTGAAGCCCAGAGAAGGCAGTGATATGCCTGAAGTCACACAGCAGTTTAACAGCAGATTTGCAACTTGATTCCTGGTCTTTGGACTGCCAGGCTGCATGTGGGCACTTCAGAGTCTGCGAGGAGAATGGCACCACCTGTCACTGCATGTGTGGTCTAGCCTGGTCAGACAGACCTCAAAGCCATGTGACCAAGGCCCACATGTGTGCAGGGGCTAACAGTGACCAGCGAGGCCAAGCACATGGGACGGGCATTTTGGCAGGGAAGGCTCACTGCCTTCATCCAAGGCAGCATCCACACGGGAAGCACCAGGGTCAAGAGTCTTGGTCTCAGCCTCGGGGCCCAGCCCTTGGTGCAGGCCTGGCCCCTCAGCAGCCCTGGTGGAAGGAATCCTCTCTCACATCTCCAGGCAAGTCCTCCTCTGCCCACAGCCAGGCCATACCACAAGGGTGGTGGGTAGTCAGAAGCCCCATGAGCCACTGAGTCCATGGCAGGGAAGCCAGGCTGGGCATGCTGGCTGGAACTGAGGCCCTAAAACCTGCCCTCCTCTCAGGATATCAGACATTCAAAGGCCAGGATGTGCTGAGAGGGGTCCCAGCAGCTGCTCAGAGGCCTGCTGGGGCATGCCCTAGGGTCAGTGCCTAGAGCTGTCGGGGAAGGTGGTACCTGCCTTGCCTGGAGTGCCAAGAGGGAGGGAGAGGCCTTTGATGAGGCCTCTGTGCTGACTGCAAGATCCTGGTCCCAGCCACTGGCAGGCAGCTGCACAAGGCCAGGGACTCATGCTGCCCCATGCAGGGCCCTGGAACAGGTTGGGTGGGGTTGGTGTGTGCCGGCCCTCCACCCTAGCAACCCCGCCCACTGGGGAAGGTTATTTCAGATCCCCCGACCGTAGAGGGTGAGAGGAGGGTTACAGGAGATGCCTGTGGAGATCAGAGCTGGGAAACCAGCTTCTCAGCCTCCTCCTCCACTCCTGGGCAAAGCACAGCCAGGCCACCAGCCTCCCAGCCTCCCACGCTGCAGGGCTGACTGACACTGGGAAGCTGGGGCTTCTGCAGCTAGAGAGGACCTCTCAGCCATCACTCTGCTTTACAAAAGGAGAAACCGAGGCTGGGGAAGGCTAGTTTCTGGATTCCTGGCCATCAAGAGAGCACCACCCTGCTCCAGCCCACCTGCTCCAGAGGCTGCTGGGTGGAGGAGGGGATGAGCGTGTCAGGGCTGGAACCACCCTAGGGTAAAGCCATCCCGCCCACAGGAGAGAGGTGCCCACGGAGGACTTTCCTCCCTCACTTTGTCCCTCTGTTCGGGTCCCACTTCTGGGCCACATCCCTTTCTAGGAGCCACCAGACCAAAACCGGACTGGAACATTCTCCCTGGCTCACAGCTGACCTGACCAGTCCTCTTCCGTCCCAACTTTCTTAATCCAGGTTCCCAGGAGCCAGAGACATCTCCCTGGGGCTGCGGGAAGGAGGGCCACCCACTCCAGCCCTCAGCACTCCTTGGCTTTATGGATTCAGCATCTGCTTAAGATTTTAGAGGGAAATCTAACCATCTAAATCTAGACAGTGAAAACCCTGTCTGACCTACATCCTGCACAACTGGGGAAACTGAGGCCTTGTTCGAATTTAGTCCAAGATGAATTCGTTAGCAGCAAAGTACTCTCTGTTCAGTCTTTCTCCCCCCAACGCACAAGCGTACATGTACACACACACACACACACACACACACACACACACACACACAGGCACATTCACTCCTGGTCAGAAGTGTGAGCCTGCCCATTCTCATCCACACTCAAGAAGAGAGTTTTCTATTTTTTTGTGTTGTTTTTCGTTTTCTTTTTTTTTTCTTCTTAAAAAGGACTTATCCAAATATTTGGATAATAAATCATTTGCGTTTCCTAAGAAACTGGGTTTTTCTTTTCCCTTGTGGTTTTGGTGTTTTTCTTCTTCTTCTTTGAGCCTTACTAAATAAAGCAGTCTGCAGCTTTCTTTCTTTCTTTCCTTTGCCTTTTTGCTTTTGGACAGGAGAAAGCCATTTGTCTGAATTGTACTCGACTCTTCAAAGAGGAAAAGGGTGTGGAAGCAGAAGGGGGCTTAGGGAGAAAGGAGAAATCGATAACGGAGGAAGAAAATGAAGAACAGAACTAAAACCCATGGAACCCAGAAGTTGTCGGGCTGAGGGTGGGGGTGGGGGACTGGGGGTGTGGGGGTGGAGGGAGGGCCTCCTGCCTGCCCCCACCAACTGCCTCCAGAGGCTTCAGCCCCATCTTGGTTCCCACACAGATCTGAGGCCAAGGGAGAGAGAGCGTGTGGAATGGAGAAGGAACTGTGGGCCCTCTAACAACAGAGTACATGGATTTTCTAAGGCTGGTCGTGGTCTGGGGATGGGGGAAGGGGAGGAGGAGGTGAGGCAACTCTGGCTGTGAACTGGGAGGAAGCAGAGGCCAAATATCCCATCAGGAGGCTGCCTCGGGCCTCCCTCACCTGCCTCCTGCCAGTCCCTGCCAGCCTGCCATCCCAGGAGGCTCAGCAGTCCCCGTCAGTGGCCACAGCCACCAGCATCTCACTCTTGCCCATCTCCTCCAAGGCACTCGCCAGGCTGTTGAGGTCCCCATCGTCCTGCTGCAGAGCTTCCCAGAGGTCCAGGATCACACCTGTGGGGCTCGCTTTGGTGGCAAAGTAATTCAGGTACCTGGCAGAGGGAAGGAGAGCACTGAGGTCCCCAAGCACTCAGCCCTTCCCCGGAGCTTGGGGGTGAAGGGGCACAAGGGGAAGTGGGAAGGCTGTAGGCTTTGGAGTCCCATAGTCCTGGGTCTGAATTCCAGCTACTCTGTGGCTCTGGGCAAGTCAGAACCTGTGGCTTAGAGTCTCAGTCTCCTCGACCCCAAAATGGGAACAATGCCAGTTACCTCTCAACAAGATCTAAGATCAGGTAAAGTAAGATTACCCTTACTTTACATGATCTAGTGTTGTCTCTAGCATGTAACCATCTTGTTCATCATCATTGTTATCACTGACAGACACTGGCCCCAAGACAGAATGGCCACGTCCAGCATGTGGTCATTCCTCCCACCTGTGCTCCCTCCTGCTCCCATGAACTCCCCTGACAGGAGGAACAAAGCCTTAGCCATCTTTGCAAGTCCTACTCATTTCTATGTAAAATGTCTTATCTAAAGCATCTGCTCAATGCAGGTTTATTACAAAATTTTCAATACATTTAATACTGATTATCATTGGCCTAATGTTTATCCAGCATTTGAAGTTGTCCAAAGGATTTTGACACCAAGGTGTATCTGGTCAGTCAGCAAGTGTTTCCAGAGCACCTGCTCTGTCCTAGATAACAGGTGCTGACAATGACATCACCTGGCTGATGCCCTGGCTTCGAGTCTCCTGCTGTTCCGGGAGAGGGGCAGGTGGAGTGTTACCCCGCACAATGGGAAAAGAGCAGGGCCTGAGCATCTGCCTGGCTCCAGGACCAGCACTCTGGGCATAATGCTCCTCAAGGGAACAGTATTCTTGAACTTTGCATGTCCAATGCTGAGTTCCCGATTTGTCACAAATGGTGGCAAATGAGTAGCTGGTCTGGGAGCTGGTCCAGGCTGTCAGGCTGCATGCCCTGCCTGCCCCTGTGAGGCCTTGAGGATGAAGGAGATGGGGGTGGTCCATGGTGGGAGATACTCACCGGTCCATAGAGAGCTTCTGTGCCAACATCCGCCAGTCATTGCCCCGTGAGTTCGGGGCATCTAGGCTGTTGCATATTTTCTGGCGGATAGACAATGGGATCTTGAAGGCATAAGGTCCCAGCTGGGTGGTGACGGCACCACCAGGGGCAGAGCAGAGAGTGTCCAAGGAGCCAGCAGGTGTCTATAAGGGCAGGAACCAAGAATGAGAGGGGCACAGTGCTCAGCACCTGCCCTCTAGCCTCCCTGCCCTTGGACTGTGAGTTCACTGAGCCTTGAGTCACTCCCACCTCCTCTGGACAGGCTCCTACTGCTCAGGCAAAGGCTTCTCCCCTGAAGGGTCAGTTCCCAAGGGCAAGGCCTGCATGGCCACCCTCTAGGTCTCAGGGGGTGCACCATGCTTATGTAAGGCCCCAGGCAAATGCAGATGCAGCCTCATAGTTAGGAAGCCCCAAGGAGCCCCAGCCACAGTCTAACCCATATGCACCCATTTTACAGGTGGAAAGTGAAATCTAGAAATGGGGAGTGGCTTGCTCATGGCCACATGCCAAGTTAGTGGGAGACCTGGGTCCAGACCTATATCCAGTGCTTTTTACAATGCCCCAAGAATAGGATCTAGTGTTGTCCTGGGTGGCCTGGGTTTTTAAACCTCAATATGGATTTATAGTGGTTGAGAACCACAGGCCTGGTCCTTGCATCAGCCTGGGTTCAAATCCAGTCTTGCCATTGTATTGTGTGCAAATCCTTGCCCTTCCTGAAGCCTACTTTCTCACCTCCCAGGTGGGGATCATATCTGTCATGCATCTCCCAGTGTTTGAGAAGATTTAGTGAGATCATATAAGTTTTCTGGTACATGCCAAGCATTCATTGATCTCACTAGATCAATATTGATCTCACTCAATCAATGAATGATGCTTGTTAGCAAAACATGACCAAATCCCCGCTCAGACTTGGAAAGTGAGAGGGAACTACAGGGGTCTGTGTGGTGCCTCCCAGTCCCAAACCCCAGAGGATGGTGTCCTCTGGCCCTCACCTCCGCCAGCGTGGTGTGTAGCTGGAATATCTGCCCTCCCTTCCCTCACCTCCACCAGTGTGGTGTGCAGCTGGAATATCTGGCCCCCCTTCCTCACCCCCATCAGCGTGGTGTGCTGCTGGAATATCTGCTCCCCCCCCACTTCCCTCACCTCCGCCAGCGTGGTGTGCAGCTGGAATATCTGGCCCTCTCCTTCCACCTGCCGCACACAGATCTTGCAGGTGAGCTCCATGGAGGCCAAGCTGTGCCTCTCCAGGGTAAAAGTGCAGTGCAGGGCCTTCTGGCTGCCGCTCCAGATGTGATAGAAGGGGATCTCCTGCAGGAGGAGGGCATCAGGACCAGGCAGGCGAGGCCAGCCTGGCCTATCCTCATGGAAATGTAGGCTTCGGGGAGGGTTGGGAGCTTCAGGGGGCAGTTCAGGCCTCTCCTCCCAGATGGGCAGAGGTTAAGTACCCTAAGCTAGCCAGCTGAGTTGGTGTCAGGCCCTCAGTTCCAGAAGGGAGCTGAGGCGGTGTATGTGGGGGAAGGATAGGCACAGGTGTGTGTGTGTGTGTGTGTGTGTGTGTGTGTGTGTGTGTGTGTGTGTACTGCGGGCTGAGGGGCCTCATGGTCTCAGGTGCTGCTGAGTGGGCAGCAGGCTGTGGCGGCAGAGATGAGATGGACAGTCTGCCAGAAGGGCATGCCTGGAAGGGTGGGGGGATGCTCTGTGAGGATGAAGCGCACAGGCATCTGTGCATGGGGGTGTGTGACAGGGCAGAAGTGTGCATGTGGCTGCCCATCGCCGTGAATTTGGGGACGTGCCTGGGGATGGCTGGGAGCCTGAAGCCTGGGCTGGGAAGAGACAGAGACAGCAGTGAGAGACCCAGGGAAGGGTAAGGCACAGGACAGAGCGGGAGGGAGCTGGTCTTCCTGGGCAGCCTTTAAGTGGTGCCCCTCCCCACCCATGAGCCCAGCCCTCACCTGATATTTGGCCAGCAGCTTGCTCCTCCAATGGGCGTGGGGGAGGTCATGGAGGGAGAGGCGCAGGTTGTGGTAACTGTCCTTGAACACCAGCGGTTTTGGCTCCTCCACCAAGTAGCCGCCCAGAGTCCGCTCCAGCTCGAGCACCTCCTGTAGGTCAGGGGCATGGGGAAGGGGAGCCCATCACACTTGGCCAATGGGCCTCTTCTGCTGCACTCTGTGGGGCAGGGGGCAGGGGCCCATCCGAGTGCATGGATGGGCATTTGCAAGAGCTCACAGAGGGCTTATGGTGTGGGAAGATGAATGGATGATGGATGGATGACAGACAGTGGGACACATGACTAGATGAATGAATCTACAGATGGCCTCATGGCTAATAAATGGACAGATGGATGGATAAATGGATAGATGGCTAGAAAGACAGACAGATGAATATATAGATGGATATACCAAGGATGGGTTTGTGAATAGAAAGATGGAAGAAAAGATAAATGAATGGATAGACGAGCAATGACTGGGTAAACAGATGGGCTGGTGACTAAATGAGGGTAAGATCAGATGAACAGAAAGATGGATGGATGGATGAGCAGAGGGACAGATGGATGGATAATGGATGGGGGGTTGAATAAACAAAGAATGCCATCAGGCCAAAACCTGGTAACTTCCCTCTTGATTTCTATACCACCCTGAGGTCAAAGCTGGACATTAGCCAGTGACCCAGGACCAAGAGATCCAGCTGCAGGAGCACTTCCCAGGTGCCTCCCACCCATAGCAGGGCCACTGGAGTCTCAAGCCAGTGTCCTCCAAGCATGGGGCACTCCTTCTCTCATGGGCCTTTCACCTATGTTGTCTGCAGTGTGGGCTTTGGAACAAGTCCCATGAGCCTGGGAGATGAAGGGGTTGGACCAGGGAGCAGGAATGGGAGGTGCATTCCGGAGCCACCGGAAAGGACCATGAAGGATGAGACTGAGCTCCTGAGAATGGGAGGAACACTCGCGGGAATGCACAAGGGCTCTGATGCTCGGGGGGCGGGGGTGGTAAATAGTGGTGCTAATGCAGGGCTCCGCACCTGCTATCATCAGGCTCTAGGTACTAAAAGACCCCCCACTTCCCTCCCTCCAGTCCCAACCACTGCTCATCTGTACAACCCATCCTTCACTTGGGGCACTGCTCTCCATCCTTTTGCATATGCTAGGAGCCTGGCTGTCAGCCTTAACCCCTGCTCCCACTGCCCATCCCATCAGTCATTGGTTCTGTCCATTCGACTGACCAGAATATACAGCATCCAGCCCCGCCTCTCCTGGCTGCTGCCACTACCTGTGGCCCAGGGACCAGCCACAGCTCCTCAACAGGCCTCTCCACCTCTCGTCTACCCATCTGAGTGTAGCCACAGAGGCTTGCTAAAGAGCACCTGTGAACAGGTGTCTTCCGGGTCCATCCCCTTTCCTACAGGATAGATTCCAAATTCCTTGGGACGACCCCTGAGGCTCCTGGGAAGTTGAGCCCTGCCCATCTCTCCCGCCCTCACATTCACACATTCCCTATGCCTTTCAGTCGGTCATGCTGACACTAGATATGAAACACAGTCATTTCTGTTGGTCTGGAATGCCCTTCACTCCTACATGTCAGCTTTCTCAGAGATCTTACCCACTAGCCCAGGCCCCTCCCAGTCTGATGCTCCCTCAGTCCTGGGCCCATCAGAGCCTTCAGGGATTCCTGGTCTGCCTCCCACCTCTAACCTGGATCTTGGTGGGGCAGGCCCTGTGCCCAAGGCTGTTTCAGTGTGTGAGGGCCGCATGCATGACCTAATAAGGCTGGTGGCGGGGAGGGCCCACGAGCCTGGGGATGGAGATGCTGGCAGAGACTATGCAGCTGGCCAACCAGGGCTGTGTGGGCACCTGCAGCTGGCCCTACCTTCAGTGCCACAGGCGTGTCCTCCAAGCAGTAGACCCGGAGGCTATATTCCAGGGAGGTGCAGAGGGCGGGGGCAAAGACGGCCAGCTGGAGCCGCTTGACTGCTGAGCGGGAGTAGGACTCGCCCGTGAACACATAGGTGCCCAGCTGGTCCAGCAGTATGTGGCAGGCCCTGGGCTCCAGCTGGCAGTAGCAGGGTGTGTTCAGGGTCTCCTCGTCCAGGGTTACCACCTCCTGGAGGGGACAGCAAGGGTGGGGTAGTGGTCACAGTTATTCAGGCTGGGCCAGATGCAAGGGGCTTTCTCTTGCCGCCCTGGGCAGGTTGGGAGAGCTGGGCCAGGCTTCACCCTGGCTCTCACCTCCCAGTGGCCCTGGTGGGCCTGGGTCTTGAGCTGAAAGATCCAGTCGCCGGCACTGACTTCGGCACAGTGGGGCATGGTGAGGATGACGGGGCGGCACAGCAGGAGGCCTGCAGGCCCGCAGGTCACCGAGGGGCTCAACACTGTCTGGGTCCCTTCTGACAGCAAGCTGGGGAGGACACAGGGCAGGAGGGAGGCAGTGAGGGGATGCCTGGAGAGCTCAGCAAGGGTGCAGAGTCCTGCTGGGCACCCAAGTCTGCCCACTGCCTGGGAGGTGGAGGGCAGCTCTGCCACTCAGGGCTCTGCATTCCCAGAGGTCATGGGGGCAAAGGAGGCAGAGAAAATGGCATGAACCTTGAGGTTGTTTGCAGATTTTTGCTATCCCATTGCAACATTATCATAGCTCAAAATACCTTGCTTAAATTTTCCAAGGTTGTGTCATCTTGGAAGGTTTTTGACAGGTCGCGCCAAAGAGCCCTCCAGGGAGCTGGTTCCAGTCTATACTCCCACGTGCCACAGGAGGCCACGTTCCTCTTGCCAGCATCAGGGTATTATCATTTGGACCTTGGGAAAAGGTCCTTACAAATTCCTTAATCTAAAAAAATCCCGATATACCTCATGGTTGTTTTCATTAGTTATCTTTGACTGCGAATTAGACTGAACATTTTCTCATGACCTACTGGCCAGTGTGTGTGTGAAAGAGAGTGTGTGTGAATCACTTGTTCATATCCTTTGCCGAATTTCACGGTAAGATGTTTAGTTTTTCCTATTGATCTACAAAATCTCTTTACATAGTAAGGATATTCAGCCCTTTGTCATCTCTGCAGTCAGCTCCCCCTTGCCTTTGAGCTTTACAATCTACGGTGGTTCTGCAAGTTTCAAACATGGACACAGTAAGACTAATGCTTTCCTTGGAGGACTGTCTGGTCTTAGCAGCAGGCTTAGAAGGGGAGCCAAGTGTGGGCAGGCAGCAAGGGATGGGAGGAAGAAAAAGGAGCAGGGGCTGGGGTTCTACTCACAGGGTGCTTTCTGCCTTGTTGATGAGTAGATACATCTCGTAGAACTTGCCCTGGGGAATGGCTCCATTGGGCACCAGCAGGCTGACCCCTATGGGGAGAGGGAGGTCAGCAAGAGTCCAGGAGCTTAGGAGGACAAGGGGTTGGGAAGTTGGCCCCAGCTAGGGGTCGGGAGAGAAAGGTATCTCCTGCGCTCCAGGTGATCACCAGCCAGAGGTGGGAGAGAGGGTCTGGGGACTGGATGCAAGCAGAGGCCAGGTCACTGACCAGTGCTGTCTTGTCTAGGAAGACAAGGGTCTCTGACATTGCTATGGGGTCTGGAGGTCCAAGTGCCAGCTGTGTCTCCTAACTCAGTATATGATGCTGGGAAGCTGCTAATTGCTGGCTTTGCAATCTAAGACGGGCACCACTGCCCCTCTGCTGCTAGTTCTAGGACAGTGCTTTGTAGGTTTGCTGAACTACATAGAACTCTTCTCTCTCACTTAACAGAGACACTGAGGCTTGGCAGGTGGCCGGCCCAGGGTTCCTCTGCCCTAGTGAGGGCACAGCCAGGCCTGAAGCCTAGTTCTTCTTAGTCAGACCTCTCTATTTTATACTCATTTCCTGCCGCCAGGCCTCCCCTTCCCCATCTGTGAGATGGGATAGGGCAGCCCTATCTTCTGCTGGATGGGTGTTGGGGCAGCCCACAGAGGAGGTGCTAAGGCCAGGCTGATGCACCAGCAGGGCAGGGGCTCACCTGTGCCGGGGATGCTGAGCCTCCCACCCAGGCAGCCAAAGGTGCCGCTGACGCTGCTCCCCAGGTCTTGGGGCAGGCCCAGGAGCTGCTGGGAGCCGAGGCTGGTGCTGTGCAGGTGCAGGAAGTGGGTGTCCCGGGTGAAATCGCTAGGGTATGTTCCTGGCGGCAGGACCCCCAGCAGGTCAGCTCCGTCTGCCAGGCCTTGCCCAGAGCCTGTGGTGCTGGAGCTGTAGACCTTGACCTTGAGGCTGGGTAAGGAGTCCAGCAGGGGAGAGTTGGTCATGAGGATCTTGTCGGTGGAGTCCTGCAGGGCACACACAGGTCCGCGGTAGATGCCAGCGCTGGCTGTCAGGTCGGGAGGCACAGAGGGGTGTAGGAGCTGTGGGTTGCCTGCAGGAGTGGGGGCTACAGTCAGACCCAGCTGTGCCTCAGCTCACCGGCCCAGCTCCCACCGCAAATCCTGCCCAAATGTCCAGCTGCGGAAGGCTCACTTGCTGCCAGCTGCAGGAAGCTTTGGGAACCCCGCAGCCTGGGTCATTCCCTTCCTTCTCTGTATTTCTCTAATCCACACCCATCCACATAGTTATCTCCAGAGCAAACTCTGGAAAAACCCCAGGAGGGAGTCAAGATCCTGGCTCTGGTCTGGGTGCCACCACAGCCCTCTGGGTATCCTGCCTCTGCCAACCACCCCAGACACCCTCGGGTTCTTACTAGGCCTCGCCGTCTTGAAGTTGACAGGGTGGAAACCACCAGTCAGAGCGGCAGATGAGTCAGTGATGTCTGTGTCGAAGTCATGGCAATTTCGGCGGTACACCACCACCCCCACCGCCATGAGCACGGCCACGACCACGAAGATGGCCACCACGAGCCCCGCGTACAGCGCCGCATCCCCCGAGGCCTCCAGCACTGCGGGGACAGGAGGACCACATAAGGGGCAGACCAGGTGCTGGGGGAGTCAGGGAGGCCCTGGGTCCCTGGAAAGGGCAGGGCCCAGGGCCAACCAGCGTGGTGCTGAGTTCCAGACTGAGCCCTGCCTCCACAGGCTGGCAACCTTGGGCAAGCCTTGAACTCCTCTATTGGTAAGATGGGCTCGAAGTCCCTGCCTTACTGCCCTCTGAGTTGTAGCAATGAGAAAAAAAAGAACAAACATGATCATGCCATGTGTGAACTCATGCTCACTGCTGAGGAGACAGGGTCTGTGGCTGGGAGTCACTGGGGCTACACCATTTGCCCTGTGGGCGCTGGGATTAAAACCACTGAGTCTACAGCAATTTCCATAGGACCAAAGGCCCTGGCTCTGTTTCTTTGTGAGTAGCTGTTCTGACCTCTTCTTCTATTCCATGCTCTGAGGGTGGGAGGTGGAGGGACAGGGAGCCGAAGGCATGGAATGAGATGCATGGCAATGGGGTGGAGAAGAGGTGAGCAGGTGGGAGAAGGATGGGCCAGGGAGGTAACCCATAGCTACGCTTTCCTCCCCCAGGTAGACATGGCCAGGCAGGAAGCACCACGGTCAAAGTGGCAGGGCCTGAAGTAGGGCTGTGCGGTAGAGCTTTCTACAGCTGTGGAACAGCCTACGTCTGCACTGTCCCGTATGCAGCCACTAGTCACATATGGCTCCGGAACAACTCAAATGTGGCCCGTACCATAGAGGAGCTGAATTTAAAAATGTATCTAATTTTAATTAAGCTATATGTAAGTTTAAACAGCTGCATATGGCTGGTGGCTTCCACACTGGGCAGTTCAGGGAGAGCAAAGATAGCAGCCAAGATGGCTGGTCTTCCCCTTGCTTCCTTCGGGAGCTCCAGGAAGCACCTGTTCACGTGCTGTCTCCGTGGGGGTCCCTCAGAGTAACAGGCCTGCTTCCTCTGCCTGGAGTCCTCCACACTCCGTACTTGGGGTCAGCCTGACGCTTTCAGCAAGGCAGGGCATGGCTCCCAGCCCCGGATGTCTGCCCACTTTCGACTTCTGTCCCTCTGTATCTCTCCTCAGCAGCCCTCACTCTTGGGCTCCCCAGAGGACCCCTCAGGGCTGGGCTCCTGGCTTAGCAGAGAAATGGCTCCCCCAGCTTGGCTCTGCCTTCTGATACCCTCGCTAACACCCAGGCGACTTGCCCGGTGATTTACCCTCCAATCACCCCCAGCCCGACCCGCGGTCAGCTCGGGTGAGGGCCTCACTGATTTTATGATGCCAGAACTATCTGGAAATTGTGGTTTAATTACCATGGGCCAATCTGCTCAAGTGGCTCTGCTGCTGAGATGTGAATGCAGTGGCCGTGTAGCCTCTAGAGTTGGAGGGCAAGCCCTTGGGAGCTGACGCTGGGCAGCGGGCATCACAGACAATTTGGGAGGCTTGGCCCAGCTGCTGAGGTGGAGGCACAGCAAGGGGCATGAGGCTGGACTGGAATGGTGACTCCCTGGACCTGGCCCAGAGAGGAAGGCCGAGGGCATATGGCGAAGAACACCAGCTTTGGCTACAAAAATGTTTGGGTTCAAATCTTGGCTCTGCCACTTCTTGGCTGGGTCTCTGGCAAGTCCCTTTTTCTCTCTGGGACTCAGTTTCCCCTCCTATGAGAGAAGGCTCAGTGGGGTGTCCTAGGGCCTTTCTTTTCTGTTAGCCAAGTGTTTGCCTGTCTGCCACGATGGAGATGCAGACATGTGCAGTGTCAGGTGTTGGTGATCCCATGGGGGTGGGTGGGGGCACCTGCAGCTCTCCCTGCCCTGAACCCTGCACCCGGGTAAAGCCAGCCAAAGAGAACCAGGGATCCCCCAGGGGAAAAAGGACAGCCATGAAATGGGACTTACGGTGGCTGTTGGGGTCGCTTAGAGTTTTCTTATCTGTCAAGGGAAATAAAGGGAAAGACAATGACACAGGTGACAGGGAAAGGACGGCAGAGAAGGCAAGGGAACGATGAGATGAGATGAGGGATGTGGTGGGGGGCAGAGACGAGGACCGCCGCACTGCAGGCCGGCACTAAGGCATGGGGCTGGGTTTGGGGGACCCTTACATGGCTCCAGAGTCCCCACCCCCAGGGCCCCAACTTCCCCATGACTCACTTTGCATGCACAGCCCGTCTGTGCAGTTCTTAGAGTCGAGCAGTGTCCCGCTGCAGTCACGGCCTCCGTTCTGGGGCGGGGGCGCCATGCACTCGCGGCTGCGCCAGTGGGCACACTCGGTGCTGCAGGCTGACCACTTGCTCCACTCCGTCCACGCCCCATCAACTGTAAGAGTATCACACACAGGAGCATGTGCACGCACAGACATGGGCACGCACAGTCACGCGTGCAGAACACAGCAATGCCCGAACACACATGCATGCATACACACCATGGAAGGAAAAGAGGAATCCAGGACACATGTGTGCCACACAGGGAAATCCACACGAGATCCACATGGCCCATGCCAAGGAGCGGCCAGATGAACCAGGCAGGTGGACAAAGAGGATACAGATAGATGTGTAAGCTTATCAACACGAGACAGCCCAGTCCACAACCATACACACAGACACAAACAGGGTAAAGAAAAACAGTGTAGGCACAAACATACTGCCCAAGGGAGAGAAGACAGCACGTGTGCGGGGGCAGGGGAGCAGAGGGGCCGCATGGAGAGTGAGATGAACAGGAGGACTGTCAGTAGGAATAGGGTCTGTGGCCACGGTTGTCTTAACCATTAGGGTCAAGAGGCTGTCCCTGAGGCTGGGCAGCTCTGAAACCTTGGCCTGGGGCTGACACACTGACACTTAGGACCCTTGGCTTGGAGGGCAGAAGAGCCCAGGCTAGAGGGTCAGAGAGAAGGGGCCACCGCTCAGAGCCTGTGCCTCCATCTCACCAGCAGCCCAGGGCGGAATAAGGGGTCAGTGATCAGAGCACCTAGTCCAGCCTGGGCAGTCGGCTGTGGGCTCGGGACAGGCATCTTCTGCTCCCCATGCTGGGGAGAGAATGGCCATCCTGGCTCTGGCACACAATACAGAGGGTGGGACAGGGTTCAGGGTGGGGCTGAGTGTGGACAAGTCACCTTACCTGGGCAGACGGTGGTGCAGGCGGTCTTCTGGAAGGCCTGGCCCTCGCAGAAGGCCCCTCCGTTGAGTGGGGTGGGGTTGGTGCAGGTCCGGGTGCGCTTCTGCCAGCCTCGGCCACAGCGGTTGGAGCAGGGTGACCACTCTGCCCAGCTGGACCAGCCGCCATTCACTGCAAGGCAGCAGCTGTCACCTGGTTGGCCTGGCTCTGGGACCCTCTACCCTCCCCCAACCCATCCCTCACCCTGACGAGCCTCCTCTGCTGAAGCCTGGCCTCCCTGGCGAGACCCTTTCTGCCTACAGCGTGAGGGACTCAGAAGTGGCAGGCAGGGCTGGGCTGCAACCGCCAGCACCTGAGGGGACCCGGGAAGTTACCATCTATGCCCCCACCTTGTTGTAAGACGGCAAGGAAGGTCCAGAAAGGGCTGCCACTTCCCCAGGGTCACCCCGGGAGTGATGGGGTCCTGGGACTGTGCCTGGGGCTCTTTCTAGAACTCTGTAAAGTCAGCTCCGCTCCTTCTACCCATAGGGCCCAAGGGAGCAGCAGAGAACAGCTTACAAGCCTGGGCATCGGTCCTTAACTCTACCAGGACAACAGGCTTCTGGGCACACTGACTGGGCCCTGCCTCAGCCCCCAGACTTGGAGAGAATTGGGTCTTTTCTGTCAGAGTTAGCCAAGGCATCCTGAGAACTGGGGAGTGCTCCTGGCTGGGGACCCAGGAATGCCCAACTTGGCCATGAATTTTGCCGCGTTGTGACCTTGGTCAAATCACTTCCCCTCTCTGGGCTGCATCCTCCCTACCAATCCAGGGGTCCCGCCTAGCCCCAGGCTCTCCCCTCCCCTCCGTTGGCCCCGTCTGCCCCTCCCACTCTGAGAGGCCCACACCATAGACGGTAACGGTGGCAGTGGTACTCCGGCGTTTGGCCACGATGTTCTTGGCCACGCAGGTATAGTTGGCCGTGTCCGACAGGCGGGCCTGGCGGATGATGAGGTTGTGGTCGATGGTGAGTAGGAAGTTGGTGTCCTGGGTGGGGTCGATGACATCCTCATTCTTGAGCCATTCCACCTGCAAGAGTGGGGGTGAGGGGGCAGTGAGGGCCCGGGCAGGTCTGACCATAAACAGGGCAGTTCGACCTGGGTCCACGCCACTGTCGTGACAGTGACAAGGCAGGACCTTGGGGGGACTATAGCACGGTACAGCTCTGTGGTTAAGAGGGCCATTTGCCCGCCGGGAGGTCTTGGGAGGGGACTTACCACTCAGGGCCTCAATTTCATCAACTGCAAGATGGAAGTGACTAGCACCCACCCCATAGGGATCCATCGTGAGGATTACACAAGTTAGCATGTGTGAAGTACCAAGAACAGTGCTCAGAGTAAGTTGAGTTAAGCTAACTAAATAAGCACTAGCTAGGAGTATCTGTCTTTATCATTAACTCCTCCTGGCTCTGCTAGCCAGGATGAAAAGGCTGGAAGGTGATAGGAACAAGGTCCCCGGATCTGGCAGACCTGGGTCTAAACCCCAGCTCTGCCACTCACCAGCTGCCTCGCCCTAGGTGGCCACTGGGCCCCTCCCAGCCCTGCTTCCCTGCTGTAGGTTGGAATGGTAACATCGCTTTGCAGGGCAGCTGCAGAGACCAGCGTGCCAAGTGCCTGGGATACATAGCCAGGGGTGTTTGTCTGAGCCCGTTGTGCAGAGGAGAGCTAGGGCTGGGAGAGGCTGAGTGATGAGTGCACGGTTTTGGGGATCAGACAGGGCTGATCCCAGGCTGGAAGTCCAAGGTCCCGACTGTTCCAACCCTCTGCTCCACTGGGCAAAGCCCTAATCCCTGGACCACCAGTGCAGGGAGTGTCTGGAACACAGGTACGGACGGTGAGAGAGGACAGGCAATCCAAAGGCTGCGTGCTTTCAGGAAGGGGTGACCGGCTGGTGGGGGAGAACACACTCACACACACGCATCATGGGATTCTTTGGCAGCCATAAAGCTGGGGCCTTGGCTTCTGGGTGGGGCAGGAGATCGAGTCTGAGCTGGGGGTCTACCTAGGGAGCCCCTGCCAAGGAGTTCTGGGGATTTCTGCCCTAGCTGCCCCATCCCGTGGCATTATGCCTGTGGCAGGCCCAGCTGGGATCTGGCATGTGCTGCGTTCTGCAGAAGTGGCAGCTCCCTTCCCTGTCCCAAGCCTGGATCTCACTAGCTAGGAGTATCTGTCTTTATCATTAACTCCTCCTGGCTCTGCTAGCCAGGATGAAAAGGCTGGGAGGTGATAGGAACAACATCTGTAAAAGCGGGAGGGCTCTGGGAGACTAGCATCATGGCTGGTGGTAAATACCATGCCTGGCCCCTGCAGGCATGGCCACAGGGCCATGCTCAGTGGTCCCTACATCCCCGCTCACCTCAGCAACAGGCATCCCCTCTGGCGGGCGGCACTGCAGGAGAACCTCATGGTCCAGGGGCACCTCCTTGCCCAGAGGCTCCTGATCAAAGTTCTTGCGCAGGTCTGGGAGAAGCGAGAGGGTCCCAAGGCAGTCAGGTGTGAGCAGGATTGGAACCTGATGTTCTACATTGTGGCCACTGGGTGGCAGTGCAGACCCAAGGAACTGTTCATGGGCCCCCCTGGCCTTTGCCTGGGGAATTTCCTCTTCTCCAAAGGAAGAGGCCTCACTAGGCTGACTTGGGGGAACAGGGTTCCTTCCCTGACTCTGGGATCCTAAGCACATAGTAGCCCAGGATAGGATAGGTGAGGAAGCTGCCAGCTTCTTTTCTACAGAAGTAGATGAAAAGGGGCCCAGGTTCTGGGTCTAGGAGCCCTCTCTGAGCTGGCATCCACGCGCTGGGATGTCTCTGCCATGGGCATCCTCAGCCAAGGATGATGGAGGGTGCCCCACAGATGGAAGTTCCCTCTCCAGCAACCTCGGTGATGGGGAAGGGTCCTGCAGGGACGGGGTGGGGGTTGGGGTGGGGGTCAAGGTGACATACAGGCGATGCGGACGTAAGCTCGACGACTCTTGGTGGTGCCCGCAGAGCTCCAGGCCACACATTGGCACCAGTAATCCTCCAGCCCAAAGAGCTCCTCCACCTGCTGTCGTGACACCTCGATCTGTACCTCGCGCACCTGCAGGCCTGGGAGAAGAAGAGAGAGCTGTCAGGAGGCAGGGGCAAAGCCAGGATGTGAGGCATAGGACACCCCTCTGCTTTCCACCTCGGGTCCTGCTGGCTCTCCCACCCAGGTGCCCCTTTCCACCCATTCCTCCTATCTCCTGTATCCACCCTGGCCCAAGGCTCACGGCCACTCACCTGCACACTGGAGAGGCTAACACAAGCCCTCTGCCCCATCCAGTGTGCTCCACCTGGCAGCTAGTGTCATCTCCAAAATGCACAGGTGGTGTGTCATTCCTCCCTGATAGGAGACCCTTCCTGCGGGGTCTCAGTGGCCTGCAGGCCAGCAGGGTTATCCCTGCAAGTGGCTCTGAGCCGCACTGTGCATCCACCATCCCCATGCCCTGTGGCCTTACCGGGTGTCTTCCAGGCCCTCGTGTGCCCTGGCTCTGCAGCCATGGGCCCTTGCACATCAGTCCCCTGCCTGGAACTCTTCTGTCTCCGCTGGGCCCAGTGGCTTCCCAGTCACTGCCAGATTTCAGCTCAACCTCACTTCCCGAGGAAAGCCCCCTCCCCGCTGCGCCTCCCCCATACTCTCCCATGGCTCTCGACACTCCCACCGCTGCTCCGGATGTTTGTCTATGCAGCAATCACTCCCCTACCCAGCCTTATCTCCTCCCAGAACCCACCATTAACTGGACCCAGATTATTTATGGACGCGTTCATGGGTTAAATGTCTTGTCTCTTGCAGGAGAACAAGATGGGGCTTTGTCCTGCTTGCTACGGTGGCCCAGGGCTTGGCACAGGAAGGGGGCTCAGCATGTGCAGAGGTGGGATGCTGGCTCTCCCTCGTCACCATTCAGGCCCTGTGTGCCTGGAGCTGAGGAAGTCCCTCTTCCAGGAAGCCCCTGATCTCTTAATGGCCCCCTGCCAGGGCCTAGGAAACTCCATAGATAATGGGACCCACCAACCTATAAAAAGGGTTACTCAGTCTTCTGCCAACCATCCCTCAATGAAGCCCTCCATGCTCAGGAAAGGAGGGAATCTGCCAGGAATGGGGACATCCATCTGAAGTTCCTCCCCAAAGGTTATAGAGGCCTCCTCCTCCTCCAGGAAGCCTCCCTGACTGTCTCGTGTCTCAGAATTTCTAAAGCTGCTCCTCCCTGCCACGATGTATCCTATCTCATCCTCTCATTGCACCATGGGTTGTTAAGGTTCGCACACCCGGTGGCATGGTGCGTAAGGACAGGGTTGGATGGCTGGACAGGTTTGCGTCCTGGACCCACTCTCAAACCCCAGCTGGGAGACCTCTGATAAGTTTCTCAGCCTCTCTGAGCCTCAGATCCCTCATCATAGTAAACTCTTGGGGTAAACTCTAAACAAGTCACTTGATCGTACCACTGTACTCCAGACTGGGCACTGCCTACTCTGCCACAGTGCCCACTGGACACAAATACTCTGGCAAGTCATCTGGATCTCAACCAGCTTCTTTTACCTTTGAAGAAACTGAAGCCCAGAGAGGGTAGGTGGCAGGCCCCAAGTCCCCTAGCAAGCTGCCACAGAGCAGAGGTCAGCTCTCAGTGCCTTTCCCAGGTTAAACTTGGACCCCTCGCCCATAACTCCTTTTGGGACCTCTCCTGATGAAGTCATTGCCATAACTCTCCTATTGTTGAAGAGGGTGGGGTCCTTGTGTAGGGAGTCCAGACAGGGAGGACAGCCCTGTCCTGATGGCCAAGTATCTAAATGGAGGCAACTGCGGATTTGCCATCCAGAGAAGAGGACGCTTCAGGGGTGGGTGGCAGTGTCTGCCTGCTATGGCTGCCCAGGGGGCTGGCTCCACAGTCAATGCTGCATGGCCCAGGGAGCAGAGCCCCTGCCCCTTGCTTACCAGGCTGTGAACCTGGAAGACTGAGCTCTTTTAAGGGGGTCATCCATGCAAGAAGGTTTCAGCAGTACCAGTAGCTGGACAGAAGGAAACCACCAGCGGGGAGGAGGCATGACACCTCATCCATGATCACCAGCAGGCAGAGATGCAGGGAGCACAGAGATGCAGGGAGCACAGAGATGCAGGGAGCACAGAGATGCGGGGAGCACAGAGATGCAGGGCGCACAGAGATGCAGGGAGCACAGAGATGCAGGGAGCACAGAGATGCAGGGAGCACAGAGATGCAGGGCACACAGGATAGGGCCCTTCGGTCTCCCAGGCTTGGGATCCAGCGCCAGCTTGCTCTCCCAAGCATGGCAATACCTGGCCCAGGACACCCAGGGTTAGGCTGCCTGTCCCGATCTGACATGAGCTGGTGGGGGCCTGTTCTGCCTCTCCTGGTCCCCAGCTGTCCTCTGTATTTTCAGGGCCTCAGGGAGTGCCAGGGAAGGCCAGGGCTAGAGAGCAGGAGGCTGAAGTGGAATCAGGCCCCACCACTGCCGAGGAAGCACTGCCCATTATTTGCAGCTAATGGGGACAACAGTGCCCCAATTTCTAGGGCTGGCAGGGCCTGTGTGCCTGGTGGCAGGGGAGTAGGAGCCATGCTGTTACTGTTGGTAACAATCACTGGGCCATTATTACTAACGGCCTGTAAGGGGCCCCGGCAGGCGCACTGTTCCCTTGCCTGGCCCGGACCCCCACGGCTGACCTCTGATACAGGCCAGAGGGTCTCAGTGGGCAGAGAAGTAAGGACCGTTTGACAGAAAGAGGCCAAGGAAAGCCCGAAAAGAGGACAGAAGAAGCAGGCATTTATCAACTGCCTGCTGGGCCCTGGCACGCTGCGCCATGCTGTGCGTGCACCACCTGGCTCTCCCCTCACCAGCACCTTCTGTCAGCTTCCCAGTTTACAAAGAGAACTGGGGCTCAGAGAGGTGGAGTGACTTCCCCAGGGTCACTCAGCCTGAGAATGAGGGCAGCTGGCAAATATGTGTTGTTTTGTTTCCCTTAAAAATTCCTTTTTTTCTGGCTGGGCACAGTGGCACATGCCTGTCATCCCAGCACTTTGGGAGGCTGAGGCAGACACATCACGAGGTCAGGAGATCGAGACCATCTGGCTAACACGGTGAAACCCCATCTCTACTAAAAATGGAAAAAGTTAGCTGGGTGCGGTGATGCACGCCTGTAGTCCCAGCGACTCGGGAGGCTGGGGCAGGAGAATTGCTTGAACCTGGGAGGCGGAGGCTGCAGTGAGCCGAGATCGGGCCACTGAACTCCAGCTTGGGGGACACAGCGACACTGTCTCAAAAAAAAAAAAAAATTCCTTTTTCCATTTTTATATTTTAGGTGAGCATGGGACTCCAAATCTATTTTTAAAAATTATGTTTAAATTGTGTTAAAGTACATATTCTATAAAACTTAGCATTTTAACCATTTGTAAGCATACGGTTCAGTGACCTTGAATATGTTCTGGAGTATAAGCCTGACTAATTCTGAAATCTGTGAGCTTTCTGCGACAAAACAGAAACTAAAGAGGGGGAAAGAAGGACAGTGAGACAACATGTCAGGGAGACAGAGAATGAGACAGAGAAAGGGGGATGGAGAGAAAAAGAAGGAAGGGACATGGGGAGGAGAGCAAGACAGACATGGGGAAGAAAGAGAGAAATGAGCAGAGAGTCAGGGAAAGAAAGGGGGCCAAAGAAGGAGAAAGAACAAGATCCAGAAAGGGACGAGAAAAACAAAACGAAGAGCCAGGAAGGCTACCCAGGAGCCCACTGAGCCTGACAGGTGACTGAAGGGGGTCCCACCTGCCTGGCTTTTTGTTTTTGTTTTTGTTTTGTTTTGTGTTTTTGAGATGGAGTTTCACTCTTGCTGCCCAGGCTGTACAATGGCGCAATCTCGGCTCACCACAACCTCCACCTCCTGGGTTCAAGCAATTCTCCTGCCTCAGCCTCCCGAGTAGCTAGAGGGGACAGTGGCTCATGCCTATAATCTCAGCCCTTTGAGAGGCCAAGGTGGGTGGATCACCTGAGGTCAGGAGTTCGAGACCAGCCTGGGCAACATGGAGAAACCCCATCTCTATTAAAAACACAAAATTAGCTGCCTGCCTGTCTTAAGCCCGGGGAAGGGCTATTCACCCCGAGGGCTGCTGTACTACACAGGGGCCTGGTGACAAGTGAGTAAGAGCCCCTCACTTAGACCCAAGGGCACCCTGGGGGCAGGCCCAACTCTGGGAGATGCAGGGAGCCCCAGGGCTCTGCCTCCTCCTCTGGGGGTACCGAGGGCCCCCACATATCCAAGAAGGAAGGGACCCTGTGCTTCCTCAAGTTTCCCAGCTTCGGCCGCTCTCCTCTCTCTCTCCAGATTTGGGCTACATCCCAGCACCACTTGTATGGTTATTTACTTAATCCTATCAACTCTCATTTTAACCTAAAACAACTTAGTTCTATGCAGGAAATGCCATATCATTATTGTGAATGGAAACCAGTATCACTTTCCACAAACAGAAGGGAACTGTAAAAACAGCGATCGCATTGAATTCTGGGTCGGTTACAGGGCTGTGAGGCAGAGACTGGCCCTCTTGGTTAATCGGGGAGCTTGACAGGTATTTGGGAGGGCTCAAGAGTCCCCGCCTGATGGGAACTTGCCCCCTGACAGAAGCAGAAGGATGGAGAGAAAATGGAAAAGGGAAGTAGAGGGCTCATAGGGCACTCGGTGCTGTTGAATGCAGTGGGGATGGTCCCAAAGTCAGGCTGGCACACGTGGCCAGCACTTGGGGAGATGCTAATCCATGGTAAAGCCCGGGGAGGGAGGCAGGGGGAAACTGAGGCCCAGAAGGGCACCATGGCTGTGTGAAGTCTCCTATGGAGCCAGGCTTGTGCCTCTGGGCCTGGGGTGTCCTGGGGTGTCCAAGCAAGTGGGGTGGGCTCACCGGTGGCCTCGTCCAGGCCTTCCTGTGTGACATGGTCGTTCTGGCTGACCCAGTCGCCGTTGCACTTGAAGTAGATCTGTGTGGCGGGGAAGGCGCGGCAGCGCAGCTCCACAGGCTTGTTCTTCACAATGTAGGCGTCCTGTGGCTCCTGCAGGAAGTAGGGCAGTGGCTCTGCCGGCGCCGAGGGGAAGGAGTCGGGAAGCGCCTCGCTGCCGGAGTCAGTGCCTGCGAGGGAGTGGAGACCTCCATGAGGCTGTGGCTGGGAGGGCCCTGTGGCACCCCTCACCCACCCTGGGGGCCCACTGCAGAGGAAGAGGGCAGGGGAGGCAGGGGAGGGGGCAGCCAGAGCCCGGTTGGGGATGCAGTCGGCAACCTGGGTTGAGTCTGGCACGCCTGCTGCCTCAGTTTCCCATCTTGCCCCAGCTTTTAAGAGGCTGGTTTTTATAAAGAGCCAGTTCCCGCTCTGCGATGCTGTGTGATTGTACTTCATTACAGGCAGAGAGGCCAGGGAGGTCCTGGGAGGTGAGGTGACCTGTCCGGGTGAGGACACCCCTTGGGCCTCCCAGCATCTGCTCCACTGTCCCTGCCTGGCCTCTATCCAGTTCCCCATGGTGACGCAACCAGACCCACCAGACGCACCAGACGCAATGGGCTGGAAATGGGGCTGGAGCTCAAACCAGGCCGGCTCTGCCCTGGAGTCACAGCTGCCCTTTGCAGCCCCTGCCAGGCTGGCAAGCGGGACAGGAGCCAGGGCTACAGGGCAGGGGTGGGGTGAGCTGGCTGCACCAGGCCTCAGCCCCCTGCAGGTCTCCTCCCCCAGGGGAAGCCCTCCTTCCCAGAAGCCTCCCCACAGAGCTCACCTCCCATGCTCTGTGGCTCTGACCCACCCCTTGGCCTCTTCCTCCCAACCCTCACCCAGCAAGATCCAGCCCTCAGTGCTAAGGATGAGGAGACTTCAGAGCAGACGGAGGCTGTGCCTTTGGCAGTCTCCTCCCACAAAGGGGCCAAATGGAAATCCTGGCCCACCCGTCTCCCTGGAAAGAACAGCACCTCAGGAGGTGAGACAAACAGGAAGGAGGGTGTGGCCACCGCCAGCGCCCAGAAGCAGGGAAACCAGGCCGCTGGGCTGCTGGTTTACAATCCACTTAGGAAAACGAACTTTCCAGCACCAAATGCCAAATGATCAGGTGGCTGGGCATGAGCCGTGGGGGGGCTTGTCCTCCTGTGCTGACTGCCCAGAGGAAACCGTGAATGAAGCTGTGGGGTGGCACAGGGCTGCCCAGCCCCTCCTGCTAGAGGCTTGGCCTAGAGCCAAGGGAGGGGAGAGGGTGGTGTCTGAGAGGCCTGTGTGGTCTCTGGGATCATGCACTTGTTCTCTGGTCTAGAAGGCCATGCTGGGCCCTAGGGAGTCCTCTACAGGCAGAGGGGCCAAGAGGACGCCTGGTTTTCCAGGAGCAGAATGCCTGACTGTGCTTTCTCCTTGTGGACCAGGAGACCCTGCCAAGACTGGTGAGCTTAGGAGGAAATGCATGAGCTGTCACTGGCTCAGGGCTGCAGGCCCTGGGCAGTGCACGTATGGGAGCGGGGGGTGCAGTGCACGTATGGGAGCTGGGGGTGCAGTGCACGTATGGGAGCTGGGGGTGCAGTGCACGTATGGGAGCTGGGGGTGCAGTGTATGTATGGGAGCTGGGGGTGGGTAGCTAACAAGATGACACATGACTCCAGCTTCATCCAGCGTGTTCTGTGGGGCCCAGGGAGAGGACCTTAACTCTTACCTCGCTATGTCTGATGAGCACAAAAGGTGGACATTCTGCCCCATCTCTAGGCTGCTCTGAGGATCACATGAGACAAACATGCATGAACGCCTGGGAGGGGCCTGGCACATAGTAGGTACATGCTGCTGCGTTGAAAGAACAACTAATGCTTACCCAGCATCAGGTGCTATGTTTGCAGGAATTTATGGAATTCTGGCACCAACCCTGTAAGGTATGTTCTATAATCCCCATTTCAGAGATGGGTAAATAGAGGCTCCGGGAGGTGAAGCAACTTGTCCAAGGTCACACAGCTAACAAGAGGTAGGGCAAAGGTTTGAACCTGAGAAAAGACTGGCATTTGGGCTGTTGCCCCAGACTCCACACCACCTATCACTGATGTAGCTCTGTAACGACGCGGGTGTCTCCACACGCGGGAATCCTAATAACACCCTGACAGTGGCCAGAACGCTGCAGTCCACAGGGCTCTCTCATCAAAGCAGAGGAAACTGAAGACCATTCAAATGGTTCCCATGACTTGCCCGAGGCCACTTGTGAGTGGGCAGCTAATGTGGGAACTGCAAGGCAGATTCCTGAGGCCAGGCCAGGGCTCTCTGACACCCGCTTCCCATTGCCAGGTACAGGGACACGTTCACTGTAGGCAAATTGTGCTAGGGCTGCTTGGGGATTTGATGAGATGACAAGGTGACGTGATGACAGCCCAGGGAGCTGGACATTGGCGTCCAGTGGCCTGAGAGCCGGTTGCTGTGAAGATCCTGAGATGGCCACTAAGGCCTCCCTGCCAGGCCAGGCAGCTCTGGGAGAGCAGGATGGAGTCAGGAGGACACTGGGTGGTAGAGAACCTGCCAGGCTCCATGCCCACCTCCCACCACCAGCATCTTATCTCCGTCTCAGCCCTGAGGGGTGTGGGACAGAGCTCTGCCTTCAGACTCAGATGCCCCTGGGTCTGAACCAGCCCCTCGCTGGCCTCATGCAGCTCACCTTTGAAATGGCGGGATTGAGCCTCCCTCCAGGGGTAGGTCATAGCCACCGGAGAAAGGGCACGGAAGTCCATGGGTGCATGTCACCTGCCTGCCCCCATCTTCTAACTGCACTGCCCCCAGCCCTGGGGTGACGGCTGCCCCGGTGCTCTGCAGCACTACAGGCTGTATGATGACTTTGTTTTATAACTTTAATGCAGACCATTTATAAAGTGGGTGCAGACATGACTGAGGAAAGCAAACATTAGACATCCATTAGTGCAGCAGGCCCTACGTCTGGCAGCCCCACCACCCCACTCTTCCCAGCCCACCCCTCCTCTCAGCCCTGGTGCAAAGATTCAGCTCTGGCCTCAGCAGAGACACAGGCCAAGTGTCTCCTCCGTGCCTCTCTGTTGCAGCAGCACCGGATGGCTCTTGATGTAGCTGTTGCCCTTTTGCTGTGTCCCCATACCCCAGGTGTCCTGGAGGCAGAGACTGCCAAGAGATAAGGAAGAAGAATGAAAGGCCCACCTGAGGTTCCTGCCTGGAGGGAGCACGAGTGGACTCTGCTGGCCAGCACGCAGCAGGTGCACAGTGAGTGCCACCTCAACAAGGGAGGAGCTGGCGTGGTGGCTCACCCTGTAATCCCAGCGTTGTGGTAAGCCAAAGCGGGTGGAGCGCCTGAGCTCAGGAGCTGCAGACCAGCCAGGCCAATGTGGCGAAACCCCATCTCTACAAAAAATACAAAAATTAGCCAGCATGGTGGTGTGCGCCTCTAATCTCAGCTACTCGGGAGGCTGAGGTGGGAGAACTGCTTGAACCCAGAAGGCGGAGGCTGCCATGAGTGGAGACTGCACCACTGCACTCCAGCCTGGGTGACAGAGCGAGACTCTGTTTCCAAACACACACACACACACACACACACACACACACACAAAGTACAGGAGTAAGTATCGGGCATGGGAGGCCGTGCAGAGCCCTCACTTCTCCCTGACCCTGGCTTGGGGCCCAGGGTCTGCTTGGGCGAGATGAGAGCCACCTATGACCAGGCTACATAGATGCCAGCTGGGTGGGAGAATAATGGGGTCTCGGGGTTCCTGGACGCTTACACTGCCAGGCGCTGCTCAGAGGGTGGTTCATATGAACTCAATGAGCTCTACAATAACCCTAGACAGAGATGCCCGAACGTTTTGATTTTTAGCATCTCAGTAATTTTTTTAAGCTATCCCAAGGCCAAAAAGAAGTTCCTAACAGGAATGTATGAAGTAATTACATCCAAACAACTTTGTAAATATTTATATCCTAAAATCTTAGGATACATTGAAAGAAAAAAATTATTTTTACTCCATTCCTGCATAGTCACAAACACTTATGAATGGGGATGTGTGCACCTGTCGGGCGATGCGCAACTTCTCAAACTTTGGAATCTGAGTGGACACTACTACGCTTATTGTTTGTCACGGGTTACTCCCAGATGCCACAATCCCAGCTTTGCAAAGATATGGTGCCAAATAGGAAAGCAGAGTGATATGAGGGTTGCAACTGTGAGCTACCTGCAGCTGGTCGTTGGTGCAGTGTCTGACAGCTACGTAGAATTACTGTGTTTCCCTTGAAGATTAAAAATATTCCACCACTGGGCCGGGCACAGTGGCTCACACTTGTAATCTCAGCATTTTGGAAGGCTGAGGCGGGTGGATCACCTGAGGTCAGGAGTTCGAGACCAGCCTGGCCAACATGGTGAAACCCTGTCTCTACTTAAAATACAAAATTAGCCAGGTGTGGTGGCATGCACTTGTAGTCCCAGCTACCTGGGAGGCTGAGGCAGGAGAATCTCTTGAACCCAGGAAGCGGAGGTTGCAGTTAGCTGAGATCACATCATTGCACTCCTGGGGGACAAGAACAAGACTTTGTCTTAAAAAAAAAACAACAAAAAAAAAAACCCCACAGCTCCCTTGGGAGTTTGGTGATGAGCCCTGGGATGACTTGGCACAGTTTGGGAACCACAGCCTTATGAGTTGGATATGATTATTACCCCCATAGTACAGATGAGAAAACGGAGACCAAATGTGTGCAAGTGACTGGCACAGAGCTATAAAGCTAGTAAGTGGCACAGCTAGTGGGCAAATTTGGGTAATCTGATACTAGAATCTGTCTTCCGAGCACCGCTGAACTGGAAATGGGCATTTAGGTCTACGATGTGCCAGTGCTTCCAACAGCTCACCTATTTACTCCTCGCAAGGCCCAGGGCCAGGATTCTCTTCCCATTTTACAGATGAAAATGTGGCGCCACAAGGGACACGAAGGGTCACCTGGTCGATGGCAGGAAGTGAGGCTTGAGCCACTTCTCTCAGCCCTGACCCCCTGCAGGACTTCCTGCTGCTCCATCTTCACAGAGGAACCACATCTAAGATAGGCTCCCCTAGAAATCCTTGCCTCTGCCAGGCCGGATCTGGGTTTCCTGCTGGCAGGAAAATTCCCACATGAAGTGTTTTTT